TTTTCATTTGACCACACATAAACAGAATCCACTCAGAAGTACACACAAAGATGAATACTAAGATGAAACTGTCGGAAGAAAAACTTTCTATTTTAGTGTCCTCTTTCACGGTCCCTTTCATCCAATGAATACCCCCCGTATTCAAGGTAATTTTGTGGTTTTGCTGCCCCTTTGGTAGAGATGAAATTTTGCGCTCATTTTTATCAAAACAAACACACCAAAATCAGAGATGTCCCATTTTTTAATTACTCGATTAACAACTAATCGATTAGTTTTTGTTCGCTGTGCTGCCATTTTTCAACCAATAAGAGTGCAGCACATGTTTGAAACGATCGGTGGTGATGATCCTATGGAGATGTTAATGCTTATATCGGCACGATATAACCGATTACATTTATTTTACTTTTCGGTTCGTTAATCGATTTATAAATTATTCGAATGAAAATCGGCTCTACGTAAGTGCCGCAATAAGCCCGAACAGATCCAAGTGCTCGGTAAGTTCATTATCCAGTATGGTGTCTAAACCGCTAACCATCGTTACCTGGAACGCTTGCTCTGTAAGGGCAAAACAGATTGAGCTTGCCGACTTCCTCCGCAAGCATAGCATCGATGTGGGTCTTCTAACCGAAACCCACCTAAATTCCGGTGACAGTTTCTGGTTGCCTGACCACAACATTATCCGGCTTGATCGCACCAGCTCCAGGGGCGGGTGGTGTAGCGGTCATCGTCAGAAAGGGAATCAAGTTCTGCAGTCTGCTCCACATCCGCACTTCTATCATCGAGGCCGTTAGTGTGGAGGTGGAATCACCAACTGGAAACGTCCGGTTTATCGCTGTTTACTGCCCACGCCAGTGTACCACAAGCAACGGCCTAGGCATCCAATTCAAGAACGACCTGACCGCCATCACTCGTACTAGCTCCCGATTCATCGTTGGGGGTGACCTGAACGCCCGCCATGAAGCTTGGCGGAACTACCAGCGGAACCGGAACGGATTTCTATTGTTCGACCACGCACAACATGGTCTGTACACTGTGCAATTTCCGGACAAACCAACTTTCATCTCTCCGGCGGGAAATCCCTCCACCCTGGACTTTTTCCTGACAAACATCGGACTATCCAAGCCGGAGGCATACAACGATCTCAGCTCCAACCACCAACCGGTGGTGACTGAAGTCGGTGTCAACGTGGTTCCTGCTAGAAGCTGCCTGCGTAAAGACTACCACCATGTCAACTGGGTGCACTACGGACGAATGGTGGACAGCAACATCGAAGAAAATCCACTGCTCGACACCGTAGATGACATCGACCGGGCGTTGGAAGGACTCCAACAGGCCATATCCGTGGCTGACGAGGCGTGTGTTCGACAAGATCCTGTGAGGGGTAAGTTTGTTGCTATTGATTCCCACACCCAATTACTGATTCGGTTGAGAAATGTTCGTAGACGCCAGTTTCAGAGGACTGGATATCTGGGCAAAAAACATGAAATGGCCGATCTGAGCAGGCAGATTGCTTCCAGAATGGACTCACTCCGAAATGAAAGTTTCGGGCGTGTTGTCCAGAATCTGGACGACCGCTCCAGACCATTCTGGAAGGTAGCCAAGATCCTGAAAACTCATCCCAAACCCGTTCCACCTCTCAGAGTCGAAAATGATGACGATCGGCTTTTAATCACCCCACATGAGAAAGCAAATGCGATCGGCAAGCATGTCGCTTCATCGCATTTGCTTGGCTCGACTATCCAAAGTCCGCTCGATGATTAGGTTGCGCAATGCGTTCAAAACCTAGATGCCTCCCCTTGTGTCGTGCCTCCGGCGGATATGATTACAGTACAACAGATTTGCTCAGCGCTGTAATACACCAAGAACATGAAGGCCCCCGGGTTTGACGGTATATTCAACTTGATCTTGAAGAGACTCAGCAAGAAAGTGCAGTCTCTTCTAACCGCTATCTTCAACAGATGCTTGGAACTGCACTACTTTCCAAGTATCTGTAAAGTAGCTAAAATCATACCAATCCGCAAACCCGGTAAGAATCCAACATTGTCTTCAAGCTACAGACCAATCAGCCTCCTTTCAGCGCTGAGCAAATTGTTCGAGAAACTCATTCTCAATCGTTTGCTCAAGTTTGTCGAGGAAAATAACATTCTCCTTCCGGAACAATTTGGTTTCAGAAAGGGGCATTCCACCAATCACCAGCTAGTACGGGTGATGAATAACATCCGAAGTAACAAAGCTGTATCCAAGTCCACAGCCATGGCCTTGTTAGACGTTGAAAAAACGTTTGACAATGTTTGGCATGACGGACTTGTGTACAAGCTTTGTAACTTCAACTTCCCATTACATCTGGTTAAAATCACCCGTAACTACCTTCGCCCAAACTAAAACCGGCTCCATCTTGTACTGTAATCATGGATGGCACAAGGGTTGAGTGGTCTGCCGAAGTAACCTATCTCGGGATGTTGTTCGATGAAAAGCTCCTCTTCCATTCGCATGTAGAGAAAACTGTAGTCAAGTGTTCTGCCTTGGTTAGGTGTCTGTATCCGCTGATTTGCAGCAGATCCCGCCTCTCAAGGGTGAACAAACTGGCTGTCTACAAACAAATCATAGCACCTGCGATCCTCTACGCAGCTCCGGTGTGGGAATCATGTGCACAGACTCACAGGAACAAAATTCAGGTCGCTCAGAATAGAGTGCTGAGGATGGTTCTTGATCGTCCTTTCGACACTAGAATAACAAATTTACACGAAGAGGCAGGCATTGCCAAAATAGATTCCAGAATTAACAAAATTAAGATTAAATTTGCACAAAAATGTAATTTATCAGAACATGCTTTAATAAGCAATTTGTATATAGTAGATTAGGTGTATATAGTAGTTGTAGGTTAGTTGTAGTTGTAAATAGTATTTATAAGTAGTCTTCTTTTTCAAAATTTAAAAAAACCAATCCCACCAAGGTGGTCATTCTCTAAAACAGGCCTGATAGGACTAGGAACATTACTTAATAATAATTGAAATAGGGGAATTTACGTATTCTCGTCAATCTAAGCAGCGTCTGTACTTCTACTAGCATTTTCTCAGCGTCACGCACATATATGATGTGTCTGTTTGTTTACATTCATCTGCTGCTTGCTTCTCTATCCATTCCAACCGACAGAATTTTTCAAAACGTTTTGAAAGCGTTTTTACAACGCTCCAAACTTCTCAGGTGAGTGTGACTATTGTCGGCAGCCTCTTTTTCTTCGGCAACCTTCCCATTAGAACTGCGTGTTAACCAGCTGTTCTATTATCGGCAACTCGAAATCAACCCCATTTTGTAGTGCGTATGCTTTATTTGAAGAAAAATGTAGCATTACTGGATTGCTCGATCGTTCAAATATAATCAGATTGAAGCTGAAAGGCTAAACAATCGTTTGGACACATTCAGGGAAGTGCGTTGATGGGAAAACATAGTGAAATTAACGTTTAAATTTTGGTTGCCGAAAACAGTCAATGGGTGCCGAAGCCAACATTTACCCTATCAAAAGAACTAAAGTTGAAAAGACGCATCTGATAAGTTAAACATGTAAACCACACAAATTCAAGAAATATAGATTAAAGTCAAAAGTCAAAGTCAAAAAAAAAAGTTTGACAGTCAGTTGTTGGTAATTTGTCAAGTGTACGTCTCCTATTCGGCAATATTTTTTTTTTTTGAAAATGTTGGCTCTGCATGTAAAAAATTAATTGTTTATACATTATTAGGGTTTGCTTAAAATTTATTTCCCGAAAAAAAAATGATCGTCAAAGTCCATGTCTTTTTCGGGTTATTGTTGAGGGGGAGGGGGAGAGGGTTGTTAAGCAAGAGGGGGTTTTACATGCACGTTTTTTCAAGTCTCATCCCTCATTGTGGTGGACACGCCGTGATCCACCTTTAGCCGCTGACCGAGTCCTGCTTGATGCAGGACCTAGTGCCACGCAGTCCGAAGCGGTAATGAGCAGAGGCATGAGAGCAGCGCTGATTTATATCTTTTCAGGTTCAAGCAGAATAATGTGCAACCAAGTGGTATTCGTTTGTGATGACTGGGTTTGGGAAAAAGGCTTATTTCATGAAATCAGTGATAAAATTATCATTTGTACATTCTCAATAGTTTAATTACAAAAAAAATTGGAAAAATATTTATTTCAACAGGTTCGTAATGTAATATCCTATCGATTGGCGTATTTGGATTTTAATTTCATTTATAAATAACAAAGTTACAAGCGTTCAAAACCTAACACTCCTTCACCACACATATTTTTTGATTTGCACCCCAGTATAGTCGACAAAGACGTAGACGTAGTTCTACCCCGCATAAACAATAACCATTAGAAGAGCCTAACCACCAATTCGGGGTATCATCTCAACTTTATGTGGTATGGTCGTACCATCTATGATATTGTTAGTGTATGATACCCGTTCATTAGGGACGTCAAAAGAAGAAGCAAAAATTTAATTTTTAAATGCCCAAAAAAAATGAACGCCTGCTACAGAACCATGCACCCTAGGGTGCTCGTTCTATTCTATTTCACCCACACACATGAGCACGTGGTCGTGTCGCACGATGGAAAATGAACAGGTGGGCAGGAACTCACAGTCTCCCAGTGTTGGTGAGTTCTTTGCCGTTAATGTTCACGAAAAGTTCACTATTTTGCTATACAGAAATTCAAAACAAAAATTTTATCTGCGGATTTGAACAGTTTTTGACCTGTTTCATACTACCGGAAGGTGTATGCTGGTCACAAATGCCGTGCCAAACTGATTTCCTACTCAATTAATCAATCTTTGATGTGAAATTCGCTAATAAACACGAGCCGCATTTCTTATAGCAAACATGCCATAAGAAAATGGGCATGGTTCATTTAAGTAAACAAACTAACACTTCTTCCGACTGTTACACCTATGTATTAGCCGTCTCGGTGCTGTTCGTTCGTCGCCGTTCGGCTATCAACAAACCATCGTGCACTGGCTTCGTACGTTTCATTCGGTTGTACGACGTCGTAGAGGCAGGACCACTTTCGGCGTCGGTTTGTTTATATTCAAGCACTGTAGAACATAAGAGGATATCATAGCTACATAGGCACATAAACACACGGCGAGAGCGCTAGAAGTGAGAGCAATAAAAAAAGAAGGAAAACCGTGCAAAACTTTCTTCCGCAGAACCAATTGTTGAAAATGTGAGCCGAGAAATGTTGGGCGATAATTTTTCCATGGAAGGGACAAACTTCTTCCGGCGCTAGAACGGTTTTTGCCCACAGTTTACGTAAGTAAATTTGCTGTAGAGGAGCCCCAGCGGACTGGAGATAGTACGGTTTGCGGAGCGAAAAAATTCGCTACGCCAGACACGAGACACGGGAACATGGCAGAAGATTTATCGATCAATAAAAATAAGATGTGAGTATAGACATAAATAAGTGCGCCTTCACTTCTCAAGATAATTGCTGCCAGTGGCATATAGCGCAAGATTTTCTCGAGCACTGCCAGGGAGAGAGCAGAGCAAGATCAAAGATGGATGCCCAGCAAATGTTCTGAAGTTATTTTAATTAGTTTTGTTGTGGAGAAAAGTTTTGATGAGCTTTTCAGTATTTTGATTTCGTGGGTTTGTTTACGTCGTGATTTACGATCGGTTTTGCTAGGAATCTTGTGTTCATTCGACTCGATGTGTGATTTGGGAAGCGGGAATGTCGAATATCGATGTAGAATTTCTGCTTGGTTCGTTGCCGAGAGGCGAGGCAGCTCCCTTTTTAAATAGATTATGAATGTAGGTACTTATGTAAATGTTCGTTTGATTGCCTTTCAGCTGTTCTTCGCGTTACAACAACAACGACATCTGTCGGTTGTGCTTGAAGAATGAGGCCCATATGGAGCCGCTGTTTTACGTGAATCTATTTCCGAACATTCTGCTCACTAAGAAGATATACGACTGCACATCGATACAGGTATGATGGACGGTTTGAAATTGCATTCAGCCATGTTCAGCCGATTGAGAGAGGAATTTTTTTTTTCATTCAGATTATTTACGAGCGCAACCTGCCGATGTTTGTTTGCAAACTTTGCGCCAACAAGCTAGATGAGTATATTCGATTTCGGGAACGTTGTGTCGCAAACGATGAATTCCTACGGAATGCCTTGGCATTCTTCGACGCAGGCCAAAATAGTATTAAGACAGAGCTGGAGGAGATCAAACAGGAACAGATGTCCTCGATGTCCATTCCGTTGTCGCAGCACGTTGCCGTACCGATTGATTTTCGTCAGGTGAAGAAATCAGCGGAATCGGAGACGTTCGAACAGGAAATCGATGAAGATCAACTGAATCAGCGATTCGCTTGCGGAGAATGTGATTTTCTTGGAGAAGATGACGATGCTCTGCGGGAGCACAGGAAACAACACGAAGACAAATTGTACGCGTGTACAATATGTCCTAAAACGTTCAAAATTCGCCAACATCTGTTGATTCATAGTCATACGCATGTCGAATTGCAGCAGCAACGGATGGAACAGGCGGGCGACGCAAAGCCAACCTATAGCTGTACAAAGTGCACCAAAGTGTTTATCAACAGGGGCAATCTACTGAACCACGCGGCCGAGTGCCATGGTAATGTGAAAAATTTCACCTGCGAGATCTGCTCCAAATCGTTCAAGTACAATGTTCAGCTGAGAATTCACATGCGAACGCACTCCGGAGAACGTCCGCATACGTGTGAGATTTGTCACCGTGGATTTTCGCAGCTGTCGAATCTACGATCCCACCGAAAGGTTCGCATCACGTCAAGGGGATTTTTAAGAATAGTTGAAAAATGTTGTCTTCTTGTAGGTTCACTCGAAAGTCAAACCGTACAAATGTCAGCTGTGTTTGAAAAGTTTCACTATGCTGGACAACCTAACGGCGCACAGTCTGAAGTGCATTAAAGACAAATACCGGTGCACACTTTGTGCGAAATCTTTTGCTAAAGAAGGAAACCTGATTTCACATCTGCAGTGCCACAGCGAAGGTGTCATGGAGAAGAATTTTAAATGTGAAATGTGCCCAAAAAGCTTTAAAAATAAGGAAGATTGGAAGCGACATGTTCGCGTGCATACGGGTAGGTTCATATGAGTTGTATGCCCTTAAATATTTGATAGAATTATTTTTTTTTTCAGGTGAAAAGCCATATGTGTGCGACATCTGTCAGAAAGGATTCGCCCAGAAAGCCAACCTCCTGTCGCACAGGAAAACCCACTTGAAGCCGGACGTAATATTCAAGTGTGAGAGATGTGACAAAATATGTCGCACCCAAAAGTTGCTGGAAATCCACGTACAAAAATGTGGCATCACCGAACTGCCGCAAGCGGTTCAGGTGCCAACGCCAACGCCACCTTCCCCGATAGTAACGCCTCCACCGGCTCCGCTAACACCCACACTGGAAGTTCTGTCCGATTTGCTTCGGTACGAGATTGCCATGCGTACACCGACCAAGCTGCAGGAGATTCTCATTGCAGCGATGGAGAAGAGGAAAGCCGCTGCAGTCGCCATGTCGCTCGTAGGGAAGCCTGCTGGGCCACCAGCTCCCACAGGGCGTCATTATCGGTGCGAGGTGTGCTTCAAGGTGTACTCTCAGTATCCCAGCTTGGTGAAGCATCGAAAGCTGCACCTCAAAACGCCCCGGATGCGTTCGAAATCGACCGAAGCGGATGAACGGCCATACTATTGTGATATCTGCGGGAAGAACTTCAAGTTCAATCGAAATCTGAAGGTATATTACAGTCGGTCATTTCACATTTCAGAAATTGCATTCCCATATGGTCGAGGTTCTGGGATGAAGACAGCTCCTAATATTGATATCAATACCAAACTATTTTAAGGTACACATGAAGCTGCATACCAAAGCAAACGGTTTCTTCAAGTGTGACAAGTGCAGCAGCACATTTGAAGCGGCCGATCAACTCAAACATCACCTGCTAGAACATCCCATCGATGTGGAGAAGATCTTCAACTGCGAATTCTGCTCCAACACGTTCAAGTCGAACGAGGATCTCAAGCGGCACCGACGGTCGCATACTGGTAAATTTCCGGTTGTTTCTTCATAAGCTGTAATTCATACCATTTTCATTTAAGGTGAGCGCCCGTTTCAATGTGACACCTGTCCAAAGGCGTTCACTCAGCTGTCGAACCTGCGCGCCCATACCAAGATTCACGAGAAGAAACGCACCTCCTATGGGTGCAACATTTGTCTGTTGGAGCTCGATTCGCTGGAAGCGCTGAACATGCACCTGAAAACGCACCAGTATCAGTTGTTTGAACTGTGCAAGGAGATGAAACAATAGAGTCTGTCCCTAGCGTACTAGTTGTTGGCCATACTTTCGTAGGAACCTGTGTTATACCCTTGTAATGCCCCGTACTATGCATTATATATATATATATGCCAATATACAATGGTGTTATTGAATGTTTGAAACATGTACCAATGTGATTGTGTTAGCGAAATAAATGTTGTTGTATGTAGTATACGTCAGAAACAATAGAAAAGCAAACCCTGTGTTCATTTCATAGGTTATAACAAAACTTTATTTCCTCTCAAAAACTCAGATTAAATATACGGCTTCCTACAAACTAAGGCATATACAATATCCGCAAGGTTTTGTATATACAGCATCATTTCCATTTTTGGTTGCGGCATGCCAGCGAAACATTCTGCTCGTCTATATCGAATCCAACAAGTTGCAGCGGGACTAGAGAATTTAAGAATTCGAAACGTTTGGCCGGTAAACACCATATATCCAACATATATCACAATAGTAAACAGTTTCTTAGAGAAATAGTGCGCTGTGAAGTCCTACCGGGGAGCACTAACATAAACATATTATATAATAAGTAAAAAATAAAACTCGTAAACAATCCATTTTCGCTAAAACATAACTCGGTACAGTACGCCACGACGCTAAACCGATCACCTAATCAACCTTACTGCTACTGGGAACGGCTTCCATAAGTGTACCGGTAGCAGGAGGTTCGCTGCTTTCGCTACCATTGCTCGGAGTTGCACCTCCCGTACCGATTGCATTGTTGAACCGTTGCAGGTTGACATTTCTTATACATTGCATCTTGAATTGATAGTGTTCGTCGATCTTTGCCTTGCAGCCATCGCAGATAAACGCCTTACACTGGGGTGACGAGATGATCTGGATATGGGAAGCTGAGTTGAAAGACTTTATGGTACGATTTATGCTAGAACAGCGCTTACCTTCAGTGTCGTGCATTCGTAGATTTTGTCCGATATCTGCTGGTTGATTTTATTCAACTGATTACCCCGGATTTTGCATAACCTGCAGGCATTGTAGATACGTGGACAGCTGAAAATGGCATTGAAAGTTGGTTAACTTTTTTTTTTTAATTACTGTGTATTTGGTGAAACAATGCCTGAGTAGATTGTATCGTACGTAAAATTTACAGATGAATCAAGCCATATTTCCGATAGGTGCCGACCGGCCTAATTTGATTTCTATTTTGTTTTGTGGTAAATTGGTTATATTGAGTTAGAGCTTGAAGATTGCACACATCCTGAATTATGCTAACTTGGTCCTCTGCGTCGGTCGTATTCGAGGCATACCTCATCTGCGGGATTGTTGTGCGGAATTCTTACAACGTATTTCGAATATCGTACTCTCCATTTCCCCCTACATACATCATTTTAATATATCCCGCCAAAGATGGTTTTTAGCACTCTATTGATGTCCAGCTAACAGATACTATGTATTTGATGTATTCACCTTTCATCCATTTTACGTCACAGTCGGTTGTACTACTCTACCATCGCCTCAAACATTCTTCCGACAATCAGTGAAGCAAATGAACTGGCGAGATTTATTGTTTGAGTCCGTACATTGCACGTTTTCAACAGGAGGCGAGCAAGATCTTGAAAGAAAGAACGAGTCTGACTATCAACTCTACACTGTCTTGAGCAGTTAGATCAGGTTCCGGACAATTTGTACTGGTCCACAATCTTCCGCAGCACTTCTCGGTTAATAGTATCGCAAGCGGGCTTGAATTCGAAGTACTTAGAGACTTGATATGTGTGACACTTTTGTAGCAGCCATTGGAGCGGCCTTTTAGCTGTGATGAGAAGTCACAATCAGTGCAGAACTTGCTATGGCTATGCGACCTTATAATGTCTGACAAATTGCTTGCCAATGTCAATCCACTAATCCACTATTAGATTGTTTATCAAAAGTGATTCACTCGTAATACTAGATGGGGAGCAGCCTAAGAACCTAACCTAGCGTCTTTAATTATAATATTTAAATTGTCATACTGAGTAATTTATAGGACACGATGATTCAATTACTAGGCAGGGATGAATTCTGTGCATTGCAGATTTTTTGTTTCAAAATTACCATCCATAAAATATGACCTTCAAAACAATGGTGGAGAATACGAGGTTAAAAATTATAAAAAATCAGAGATAAAAAGGAGAAGGTTATCACCCCGAAAAAAATACGTTTTGATTTTTCTAAAAATATTGGAAAAATATATCAAAAATCGTGTAAAACATTTTTTTTTGCTATGTCATCATGGCACAAAGTTGAATTAAAAAAAATCACAAAAATAGACCTTGCAATTTTGTTTATAGTCCAACTTATGATGAGATAGAAAAATTATTTTTTTACATTTAATTTTTCTCAGAAATCTAAGGAAAAAGCTGATTCTCTTCGATTTTTTGGCATCTTTTTCCAATATTTTTAGAAAAATCAAAACGTGCAAGATTTTTGGGCTGTAAGCTTTCTCTTAACTGCTATCACACATGTCAGTTAGTAAAGCCTTTAGCACAGTTGCTATGAAACTAAAGCATTCATTTATTGGAGGCGAACCAGCCTAAGGCTGAAAGCCTTCTAAATAAAGCTAAATAATAATAATAATAAGCATTCATTTATAGTAAATTTTGGTGCTCTTATAATTGAACATTTTCTAATTTCTCGCACTGAGTTCATCACGCTCTGTTTTCCTAAAGTTTTCACATTTGCACCAACTTGATTTTACCGTTATCCTGTAAACGAGTTCTTTTCTATTAGCTACTTATACCCATGAACTGATTATCTAATTAGGAACCGAATTAAACAGATTTCCTTTTGATTGACTTAATTACGCACTGCAGAAAATACCGTAGCCTTATCAAGGTAATAATGGGGAAGGCCATCCATTCGCGTTTCCTTTAATAGCATATTTCATTTGCCATCACCTAAAAGACCTTTCCCTAGTTTACTTACATGAAATTTGTATCCTGAACCATCTTTGGCTGTTATTTTCTCGAATAAAGCTGATTTTATCGAATCAAATGATTCTTTGTTATTGTAGCTGTTCTCACTCGTGATATTTTTTCTCTACTACGACGAGGGTTGACATGACATTTCGATGCTGGACCATCATACGCCTGAAAAGTGACAGCCACTGGCAGTGTTGAGTTTGTTTTTGTTTTGATTGCTCTGCACTATACACGCTTACTTCAGCTTACTCACCGGGTGAGTCGATCGTACTCAATTTCGTCTCATGTAGAGTCGGTGTATAATGAGTCACGCCAAGAGAAAAACAGTTGAACTCGCATCACGGTTTTCGAAAGATTCCCTTTCTTTTAACTTGGCAACAGAGGACTTCTGCATCAACTTCAAATGACTTCTAGCGAGGAAAAAAAATTAACGGCTGTAGTAAATCATTATATCAGTCAAAGTGTTTTTTATGTTACTTCATACGCGAAGTTAACGATTTTCAGAGTTGGTTGGAAATGCTAACATGAAGCTTTAGTGTGATGATTTATTAGCTAGAGAATGATCTTTAGAAGAATGTAGGTGGATAGTTCCGTTAGAGTACGGCAGTATGAAAATTGAATAGAAGTTGAAAATGAGCGAAGGGCCATTAAAGCGACAGTTTTCAAGATGACGCACATTTTTGCCTAGCCCGTACGATGTACGCGGGGACTTGAAGTATGTCTCCAAGTCCACAGGCAAAAATGTGCGTCACTCTTGTTGCTCATAAACTGACTGCGGCTGTGGAATAGTTCTAGCGACGTTTTTCATCACTACCTAAAGCCCCACGTCGCGAGAGCATTTCCAGTCGATGGTGTGTTATAATGCAGTTCTTCTTTACCCAACTATTGTGTTGCTCCTCTCGTCATGACCAACGTGATCATCTCAGAGAGAAAGCAGTAGGGTGGTTGTTGCGTGCTGTACCATCATCAGCATTGTTGACGGCTACTCCCGCCTTGAGTTGTTACATTCAAAGTGTTTTTTATGTTACTTCATACGCGAAGTTAACGATTTTCAGAGTTGGTTGGAAATGCTAACATGAAGCTTTAGTGTGATGATTTATTAGCTAGAGAATGATCTTTAGAAGAATGTAGGTGGATAGTTCCGTTAGAGTACGGCAGTATGAAAATTGAATAGAAGTTGAAAATGAGCGAAGGGCCATTAAAGCGACAGTTTTCAAGATGACGCACATTTTTGCCTAGCCCGTACGATGTACGCGGGGACTTGAAGTATGTCTCCAAGTCCACAGGCAAAAATGTGCGTCACTCTTGTTGCTCATAAACTGACTGCGGCTGTGGAATAGTTCTAGCGACGTTTTTCATCACTACCTAAAGCCCCACGTCGCGAGAGCATTTCCAGTCGATGGTGTGTTATAATGCAGTTCTTCTTTACCCAACTATTGTGTTGCTCCTCTCGTCATGACCAACGTGATCATCTCAGAGAGAAAGCAGTAGGGTGGTTGTTGCGTGCTGTACCATCATCAGCATTGTTGACGGCTACTCCCGCCTTGAGTTGTTACATTCAAAGTGTTTTTTATGTTACTTCATACGCGAAGTTAACGATTTTCAGAGTTGGTTGGAAATGCTAACATGAAGCTTTAGAGTGATGATTTATTAGCTAGAGAATGATCTTTAGAAGAATGTAGGTGGATAGTTCCGTTAGAGTACGGCAGTATGAAAATTGAATAGAAGTTGAAAATGAGCGAAGGGCCATTAAAGCGACAGTTTTCAAGATGACGCACATTTTTGCCTAGCCCGTACGATGTACGCGGGGACTTGAAGTATGTCTCCAAGTCCACAGGCAAAAATGTGCGTCATCTTGAAAACTGTCGCTTTAATGGCCCTTCGCTCATTTTCAACTTCTATTCAATTTTCATACTGCCGTACTCTAACGGAACTATCCACCTACATTCTCCTAAAGATCATTCTCTAGCTAATAAATCATCACACTAAAGCTTCATGTTAGCATTTCCAACCAACTCTGATTATATCAGTGATTTTGTCGAATTATCTTAAAGAAAAATAGTAGAAATTGTCATTACTGATCATTACAAAACGTATCGCATGACAAATGTAATGCTCACTGCGTGTGATCATTTCTTCGATTATATTTCATATTTAATTGCAATACCTTTCGTGGACCTTTTATAGCATCGTAATGCTTGTTTACTTTGCACGATAGGTAGCCGGTTTGACAGTTCAATAGGTAGACTTGGCTTCACTCTTGGCGTGACTCATTATACACCGACTCTAGTCTGATGCATTAGGTTGTCAACATTAAAGAGCCTGAATTTATAAAGAGACGACATCTTATCCATTTGACAGGTCTTCTGCTCGATTGGAATGACTTTTCGTATGACTTTGACAGATAGTCGATTGTTCCAATTTTGACATATCGTCTCTTTATAAATTCAGGCTCTTTAGTCAACATCAATCTGAGTAAACGAGAAATGTCAAACTGAGTAAAGGCGACTCAGTCAGCCGAATCCGGGATTTAGGAAAAAATGCCAGCTGTGTCGGAGCAACGATCTAAGAAACGGCGAAATTATTGTATAACACAGACCGAAATTAATTAAGGAATTGCATGCGGAAACGGTTTTCAGTCGTCTTCAGCTCCAGTTAAATGAACCTGGAGCTGGTAATTTCCATTTTTTATCAAAAAAATAAATAAATAACAAAAAAGAAGAAACTTCCTGGCTGAAAATCACAGAGTGGTTTTGACACACTTTGCGCGAGAACGTTGTTTACTCAAAAGTGAGTAAAAGGGTATCTACTCACTTTTGAGTAGCCATACTGGCCATACTTCCAGCTGAAATGAGCATGTTCGACTCAATTTTGAGTTGTTGCGAGTTACCGTTTACATATTGCCCTCGTATCAATAATCCGAAGTCGCGAGTGAGCTGCGAGATGCAAAGTTACATTTGCGAAGCGATAGAAAAAGTGCTGCCAGCCAGTCGTTCAGGTGGACTAGAGGATAAAAATGTATCAAGTTCCCTTATTCGATTCTATAACATTCCCCAGAAAACCATTCCCCAGAATTCCATTCTCCAGAATGCACCATTCCCCAGAATGTACCATTCCCCAGAAAAGATGATGAAATTAGTTATTTTCACTTTTTTTTTTTTTAGTTTTGATAATACACTATGTTTACTTTTATGGAACTATGTATTTACAGGGCTGTTACAACAGGCGTGGACAGGCATGGAAAATCATTTACATTCATTTCATGCATTCATTTACATTCATTTTCCTCTAACTTTTTTCATCAACAGCATTCCGCAAAATGATGCAAAGAGCTTTTGTAGGTTTTGTTATTAGCTACAAATTTGGCCATAAATCAAATCTGTATCTCTTATGCATCACGAACTAGAGTGGGCAGAACTTGTTACTGTTTTTCAGTGAATGTAAAATACATTCACTTAAAAACAGTAGTGGCTTCTGTTGGCTCTGGTTCGTCATGCATAAGAGACACGGATTTGAGTTTTTAACAAAAGTTGTAGTTAATAACGAAGCCTACAATAACTCAATACATCATTTTGCGAAATTCGGTTGATGAAAAAAGTTAGGGACAAATGAATGTAAATGAATGCACGAAATGAATGCAAATGATTTTTCATGCCTGGGCGTGGATTTCGCGATTTTCGCAGATTTGATCTTTCAGTCGCGAAAATCGCGGAAACATTAAATGATGTCGCGGAAATCGCGAAGGGACTGATGTGTTGTCACAAAAATTGTGGAATTCATTGTAACGTTTCCGTCCCGGATTACTTTGCTGTGATCAATTTTGTTGTTCATTTGACTCTCTATTTTTGACCGGTTCAAACCAAACACCCTGCAAATAATCTAGAAATAATCTCAATTCCATAAGTCGCACCGGAAATTTCCTAGGGTCTGTCCAATGTGAGACATTCTCATGTGTTTTTTTATTTCCAATATGAACATAGCATTTTTCGTTGTCAAATCATAAAAGAATTGTATATATGCGAGTAATTGCCGTGTATACCGGATATTCTAGGTTCTCCAAATCGTCCTGGAGTTCAGTTAATTTGTTCTACCATATCAATCAAGACTGCAATAATGTCTGTAGTATCGAAATATGTCCAAACAGATTCAAAGTGTCTATGTGGATTGTGCCAAACCTATTTCTACGTATACAAGATGTTATAGGTTCTGAAATCATTCTGGAGATCAGATTATTTTTCTACTAGATCACCCAAGACTAATTCAATATCTGTAGTATCGAAATAACCCCCAAACAAATTTACAGTGTCTATGTGGATCATTTCAGCCTATTTCCGTGTATGCCAAATGTTCTAGGACTTCCAAATCGATATTTCGATACTACAGATATTATCCTAGTCTTTGTTGATCTAGTAAAACAAATCATCTGAACTGCAGGACGATTTGGAGAACCTAGATCATCTGGTATACGTGGAAATAAATCATACATTATCCATATAGAAACTGTGTATCTGTCTGGAAATATTTCGTTACTAAAGACATTGTCCCAATCTCGGTTGATCTAGTAGATCAAATTATCTGAACTCCAGGACGATTTGAAGAACCTTGAATATCTGGATTACTCGGAAATAGATCATGCATGATCCACACTTTGAATTTGATTGGACATTTTTCGATACTACAGACATTATTGCAGTCTTGGTTGATCTAGTAGAACAAATCAACTGATGTCAACTAATTTCTTTTTCAAGTTCAATTAGTATAAAATTCAGGAAAAATATTCAGTTAGGCTTCCGCTTTTCCAAATCTGAATTGCCGGGCCTTACGCTTGACCCCTGCCATCAGATTTTGTACAGCCATCTTGTCCACCTTTTCGCCGCATAAAGCCAGTTTGCCTTGAACTGCTACTCGCCCTTAGCAGTTTTTTTGGTCTTCTTTAGGTTCCGCTTGACAATAGCCCAGTATTTCTCAATTGGGCGGAGCTCTGGCGTGTTGGGAGGGTTCTTGTCCTTGGGAACCACCTGCACGTTGTTGGCGGCGTACCACTCCATGGCGTTTTTACCGTAATGGCAAGATGCCAAATCCGTCCAAAACAGTACGGAACAACCGTGTTTCT